CCATGGGAGCATGCCCACGATACTCACCCATGGGAGCTCACCCAATGGCAAGGACCTCAGTCCATTAGAGCAGCACCTCACTGTTAGCACCTCCCTCGTGTTCAGTTTGGTCTCCAACCAGTGGCGCCAATGGGGATTTGCCTGTGCAGCTTTTCAGTGACACTAGCCTGGCCAACGTCCTCCTGAGCGTGTACTGTGGTACCCCCTTCTTCAGTCATCACTACACCAAGCTCCTGATTGCCTTCCTCAATGTCAATTAGTCCATTGCCATGGATATCAATCGGTTCTCCTCATTTGTTCGACATTGATTTCTGAGAACTCATCCCAGGAACAAAATCTCTAGCCTTAGGTTCCTAAGTATCTTAATAAGGAACTTTCTCTCAATATTGGATGAAATGAGGAGAAAAGGAGAAACCCCTCATTTATAGCCTAGGGTTTTTCCAAATCCTATAAGGAGATAAAAGTGGGAGAGTTTATATAGCTGGAGACGTCTGAAATCTAGTCGCAGTGCAACATGGACGTAGCGGGATTCGTCTCAGATTGCTAGAGAGTCCTTGATTGGGTTGAAACTGATTGCCTTGACATTGACGTTGATTCCATAGTCAAGAGGAGTCTTCATAAGTCAGAATTCAAATTCAACTAAATGTCATATTCTCTAAGTTCTATTGGACTTAGGGCATTGGGGGGGCAAATGATGTGCCAAACTCAAGGGCCTAACTCATGATATAAGCCTAGTCTGAATAAAGAGCCCAACTTGAAGAGATCTAGTGGGTCCAGCCCAAAAGGGGTCCACACCCAGTCAAGCTCATCAGGGTTCGAGGAGCTACATCATAAAGGAAGGCAGAGTCATATCAAGAGCCTCATTCACGCCACCTTGAAAAAAGTCAACCACCATGTCATCCTTTGACCGGATCTTATGGGAGAGTCGTAACTGCCTCATTCGTTGAGAAGATGGCGCTAGCTCCACCAACTTGGCCTTTTAGTTACTGATAAACCGCCTCAATCTGTTAGGAGATGACTATAAATTACAAGCCCCACTAACACTTGGGGGGCATCACACTCAATCGAGCAAATCTACTATCACTCTCCTCTCTCTCTCTCATAGCTTGTATCTCCCTGCTCTCCCTACACTCCTCAAAGTAATAAAATAACCAGGCGACTCCAGCCGTTTATAGTGGACGTAGGTCATGTTGATCGAACCACTCTAAATCTTTGTTTCACTCAAGTTACTCTCTGTCTACCTAATTACTTTATTTATTATTGATCAGTTGACTGGTGGTCCATAAACCCAATTTGTGCATCATCAACTATGATTGTTCAATGGTTGAGGTTTGTTGACTCATTGAGGAAAGGGTAAAGGAACATGACTTGATTTTTCTTTCTTGTCAGGCAACTCTGTTTCTTTTTGAATAATAGGTTCAGACTCAACTGGTTCATTTACAGGATTCAACTCAGTCACTATTTCAAGTATTTTGGTTTTGATGGGCTTGTCAATTACTTTACCACTTCTCAATATGGTAACTGATTGAACTTGGTTTGAAGAAGATTCACATAAGGAAACATTACCATAGGTTTGACCCTATGGAAGTTTAGGTTAAGATGAGAAATTTTCCTTCTCTGTTGTGCTCAAAGACTAGGTCAACTTGGCTATATGATTTTTATTCATTGTTTTTGTCACACCCCCACCCCAGATCACATAAGGTGAGCGGTGGACTGGCTACCCATGCCTTAACCAACCAACCCTATGTATAGTAAATGTAAAATACAGCGAAAGACAAATAATAAAGTAATCTTCCACCGACCTAAAGAATACCAAATGAATAAATTAAACATCACCAACATCATTACTAATTCCATGTAAAACAATAATTAAACTGTAAGGTTCACTACTCCAAACATGAGTAACATTATTCCCAAAATAATTAAATATTTGTCTCAAAACTACAAAAGACATTTATTCCTGAAGACCTACAATACAATAAATTTTCAAGTCTTCTAATCTCTTGTATATCAGCAAATGTACTCCTCACCCTGATCCTCTCCTAAAAAATGTTAAATGTTTGGATAAGCACAATGACCCGTGAATAGCAACCACCTCTAAGGAGGTGTGAAAATAAATCCCACAGTTTATATACAAAAATAAACTTTGATACATACATAAGTATAATAAATTGTACCTCAATTCCTCCCACATAATCATGTAAACAAAATGATCTCATGATCACAAATAACTTTATAAATGAAAAGACATTTATAACCCAAAATACTCACTCATTTTCATAAATAACTTTATAAATGAACAGACATTTATAATCCAAAACACTCACACACACATTCAGTCCCAAATGCATTTGTCAAATCATGTTTGTAACCACTAGTCTGGTAATTGACCCATATCTTGTTACCACTAGCCTAGTAACTGACCCCGTCTCTTGTCACCACTAACCTGATGACTGGCCCCTATGTGCACATCCCTATACCGATCACACCGGTATACTATCTCATTACCATTTTGACTTGGTAACCTAGTCCCTATCTCATAAAACATGATTTTCACACACATCAAAACTGTCGGTTTAGTCCCAACGCACATAAAATTTTCCTTTCATCACCAAAACAATGATGTAAAATCATCCCACAACTTTTCCAAAGTTCACATGTATAATAGTTCACAATTGTAAAACAATTGATTGCAACCCCAAATATCAACACATATATATCATATATATATATGAAAAATTTTCACGCATGCACCCACACATTTAATATAGAAAATCCTCCCAAAAGAAGTATTAACTACTCACATTGATTCCCAAAATCCGATTCAAAGCCCTCTTTCTCAACCTCAATGTAATTACCACCTAATCCAAAATAACATATAACGATCAATCCCTATTCATAACTTTGTTATTTCACGATTTTATATTTAATTTACGCACTTCCTACCCATTGATATATACTTAATATATCATTTACATATAAATATCTTTTATAATATGAGGTAATAGGGTATAAAAGTATTCTGGACTGTTTAGAAAAAGTTTTTAAAATTTTGTCAAATCATAATTTTTTTAAAACTTCAAGTGTAATTTCTTTTAAAAAAGAATTTTCTATTTTCAGAACTGCTATAAAATTTTCAAAATTCTATTCTTCCAACTTAGCAAGTAAAATAATGGTTAAAATATAGTTTAGAAAACTATAGGGGTCTAAGTAAAACTTTTTAAACTAAAGAAAATGTTTCTAGAATTTTAAGAAATCCATCTTCTCCACCCACCGAAAGTNATTTGTCAAATCATGTTTGTAACCACTAGTCTGGTAATTGACCCATATCTTGTTACCACTAGCCTAGTAACTGACCCCGTCTCTTGTCACCACTAACCTGATGACTGACCCCTATGTGCACATCTCTATACCGATCACACCGGTATACTATCTCATTACCATTTTGACTTGGTAACCTAGTCCCTATCTCATAAAACATGATTTTCACACATATCAAAACTGTCGATTTAGTCCCAATGCACATAAAATTTTCCTTTCATCACCAAAACAATGATGTAAAATCATCCCACAACTTTTCCAAAGTTCATATGTATAATAGTTCACAATTGTAAAACAATTGATTGCAACCCCAAATATCAACACATATATATCATATATATATATGAAAAATTTACACGCATGCACCCACACATTTAATATAGAAAATCCTCCCAAAAGAAGTATTAACTACTCACATTGATTCCCAAAATCCGATTCAAAGCCCTCTTTCTCAACCTCAATGCAATTACCACCTAATCCAAAATAACATATAACGATCAATCCCTATTCCTAACTTTGTCATTTCACGATTCTATATTTAATTTACGTACTTCCTACGCATTGATATATACTTAATATATCATTTACATATAAATATCTTTTATAATATGAGGTAATAGGGTATAAAAGTATTCTGGACTGTTTAGAAAAAGTTTTTAAAATTTTGTCAAATCATAATTTTTTTAAAACTTCAAGTGTAATTTCTTTTAAAAAATAATTTTCTATTTTCGAAACTGCTATAAAATTTTCAAAATTCTATTCTTCCAACTTAGCAAGTAAAATAATGGTTAAAATATAGTTTAGAAAACTATAGGGGTCTAAGTAAAACTTTTTAAAACTAAAGAAAATGTTTCTAGAATTTTAAGAAATCCATCTTCTCCACCCACCGAAAGTTAGAGAACCTGTGACTTTCTTCCTTCTTCCCCTTTGCTTTCTTTTTTTTTTTTTGCTTCATTTTATTTTTTTTTACACATTAAATAAATTCTTTAAAAACTTCAAGACCGATCAATCTAAATTAGGTCTAAAAACACCTAAATTAGCAACTTTCAATAAAATTNTTGTATTGTATGGGTTATTACATTCTCTCTTCCTTAAAAGAATTTCGTCCTCGAAATTTATATGCATTGTGAGAACAAATGAGGATATTGATTTTTTTTGTTTTCTTTACTTTTCCAAAGAAATTTCTCAATTGGGTGGCTCTTCTGCAATAATTGACCAACATAATGGTTCTATTTACACAAAATTTATTGGCTCCTCAACATAAATATTGCTATGTTTGGTACATGGTATTAGGCCTTAGGATAGAATGGACATTCCATGGGAATGCCTATTTTAATGTTTGGTTTGTAGGATTTAAAATTCATTCCCATTCCAAAGGAATACCTAATCCCATAAATTATGGGATTTGGCATTACCAAATCCAACATGATATTCTCCATTCCCAATCCACTCGGTAATAGCCCAATCCATCTGAAACAAAAAACCCGATTGCTCAAATCTAATGTTTGGTTTGCTCTCTCATCAGTCTCTCTCGTCTCGTCTCCTCTCTCTCTCTCTATCTCTCAGANCTGAAACAAAAAACCCGATTGCTCAAATCTAATGTTTGGTTTGCTCTCTCATCAGTCTCTCTCGTCTCGTCTCCTCTCTCTCTCTCTCTCACACACACACACTCATCAAATATGCGTCTCTCTCTGAGATCCAAGACTCCATCTTTGTGGAGGCCCGCTGATATCAATCTCGGAACTTCAAATGGTTTGAAAGAAGAGTTAGAGCGGGTGTTGCTATATGTAAAGTCCAATGACTAGTTCCTTGAAGTTCCTTGGATTTTTAGAGCGAAACACATCACTGTCTCCCTCGGCCGGCATATGTGGCTAAGAAGATGGAGTAAAATTGTTAAGATATTGAGTGCTTGTGTGTAGCTCAATCCAGTTGCGCCTTTAAAAAATTGTCTCATTGTTTCAGATTATGCCTCACGGCATACCTCACTATCTTTTTCACCCCTGATAAATACCAATGGCGCTTGCAAATATCACTCCACAAATCTCCATCCAAATATTGCATAGCTTTGTGTTCAGCATACCATATGTTTGATAATTTGCCATGGCGACAAGTGATGTAAAGCTTTTGGGTAAATTGATAAGCCCCTTCGTCAATCGGGTCTAAATCGCCTTGAACCTGAAATCCATCGACTATGAGTTCATTGAAGAAAATCTTGAGCACAAAAGCTAGTTCCTCCTTAAATCAAATCCTTTACTCAAGAAAATCTCAGTACTTATCCATGGAGATAAGCCAATCTGCGAGTCCCTTCTCATTGTCTAGTATATCGATGAAGCTTGGACTAAAAGCCCCTTCATCCTCCCTTCTGATCCCTACGATCGAGGCACTGCTCATTTTTGGGCAGCCTATATTGATGATAAGGTACTCATGATATTTGCCCACCACCTGTTTGATAAAATTCACTTCTGTATTTGTGTTGTGTTTTAACATAGTTCAAATGGTTGCAGTGCTTCCCATTATTCATAGAGCTTAGGACGACAGGGGAAGAGGGGAAGGCCATGATAATAGAGAAAATAGTTGAAGGGCTAGTGATGTTGGAGGAAGTGTTTGGCAAAGTAAAAGCTTTCTTTGGTGGGGATAGTATTGGATACCTTGATATTGCTCTGGGTTGCTACTTGCGGTGGCTGAGGGTGTTAGAGATAACGGTTAAGGTGAAGTTGCTTATTGAAGCCAAGACACCGAAGTTGTTGGGATGGGTTGAGAGGTTTTGTGCAAATGATGATGTTAATTATGTACTACCAGAGCCTGCGAAGCTCATAGTAGAGAAAATTTGGCTACTGCTGCAAAAAATCATTTGAAATTTATAATTATAAATTTGAAGGATTTATCCTATTTTTGAAGGAATTTATTTTCTAATTTTTTAAAATTTATAGGAGTTTAATTTTTTTTAATGGATTCTCATTTTTTCTAATTATAATTTTTTTTACACAACTTTTAAAGGCAATCGCAATCATAAAAAAAAATTGTTATTAAATATTTTTAGTCACTAAAGATATTTTGGTTAAAGTTTATTTTATTCCAATGAAAAAATTGTTTTATCCAAACATAAGAATGAAATGCACATTCCATTCCAGCATTTAATCCTAAACAATTGTCAAACATTGGAATGGTAATACACATTCCATTCCATTCCCATGTTCATTCCATTCCCAAACTCATTCTATTCTTACTGAAAAGTATTATTGCGTACCAAACGTAGCGTTAAGAGTTTTCTTTAGCTAAATAGACTAACTCAACTAACATATTAGAAGGATCAGGTATATACACTTCCTGGACATATTGCAACAAAATATGTCTTGAAACCGAAACAAGTTTGTAAATAGAACAAAATTTAAAACTATAACCATCATCCTCTCTATAATCTCATATATTCATTTATATCTTAGACTAAACTTTCCTTCGAATTTCTAGTACACTATGCGCGAAACTTAATGCCAAGGTATGAATAGTATACTCAGACTGCCCATCAAATTGAGAACTATAAATTATACTAAATTTCAAAGTGTTATCCACAACATGTTGCAAATTAGGCCAACTCTAAAGATAAATTTTGAAGTTCCATCTAGTGTACTTTGAGCATACCTAAAAGTGAATATGTAAATTCAATTACCAAAACTAATCGGACTTCGTCAATCAATCCATAATAATCCAAATAGATTTATGCCCAATCTATATCCTGAAAGTCATTATAGAAAATTCATAGTAATTTACTCCAATTTCTACTCAAAAATTTGAAAATTAGTTATAGTAAACCTGAAGGATACTGATACTTAGTCTTTATCTATCAATGCACTACACATTGACTACCAATTCCACAATTTTTCTTTTCATTTAACTCAATCAATAATAGTTGTTCAATATCAATCTAATTTTGTACTCCCCGGACGCACATAAAATTATGGGTTGTATCTATAATGTCTCTCTTCAACATGTTCTTTTTTGATGCCCATAACTAATGCCAAAATATAAACATAATCTCACCAAAAAGTACAAAATATATCCTATTACTATGTTACACATCTTTTCTAATACTCTGCACATGTGTCCCCCCCCCCTTTTTTTTGTAACTAACTGATACGATCTACCAATAAAAGTTTAACTTGCAATTGAGTTAATAATACATTTGTACAAGTTAATATCACACGTACCCCTATCAATCTTAAATCAACCAAATTACTTATTTGGCTATATTGAATACAAAACAAACTTCTTAATGATTTCTTGCTCAGTATATCGACCACTTTAATAGTTTTGCCTACATGATAATAATAGAATAATTATAGTCCCTAATCTTTCTATCCAACTCATTTTTCTCAAATTAAACTCCTTCTTAACAAATAAATCTTTCAATCTTTGATAATCGAAATATATCTTGCATGTCTTACCTTATAAACAATCTCTGCATAACCTCAAAACAAAAAAAAAACAAAAAAACAATTACATCTAACCCAAAATCATGAGAAGGGTAATTCATTCTTTACTACAAGAATACACAGGTGTAACACCAATGAATACAGTTACATATGAATCTAGATAAAGTTAAGATACGCAATTTAGTCAATCCATAAAAATAGATGTACCATTTGTCAACCTTAATGACTTCACCAAAAATATGATGACTATCCCAATTGGACAGACTATTTTTTTTTTTTTAAAACATCACCATTCCTTTCTTTTAACTAAAGATAATCCAACTTAAAATCAATCTTACTAAATTCTCTAACCCCCCTCAAGTGATCAAATTAATCATCAATACCATATAAAAGATATTTACTGTTTATTGCAACCTTACTCAACTGATATTAATCGNTTCACCAAAAATATGATGACTATCCCAATTGGACAGACTATTTTTTTTTTTTTTAAAACATCACCATTCCTTTCTTTTAACTAAAGATAACCCAACTTAAAATCAATCTTACTAAATTCTCTAACCCTCCTCAAGTGATCAAATTAATCATCAATACCATATAAAAGATATTTACTGTTTATTGCAACCTTACTCAACTGGTATTAATTGACATACATTTCATAATCCCATCATTTTTTTTTGAAAAACACAACATGAGCACCCCACAACAAATTGCTAAGTTAAATAAATCTTTGATCTAATATATTTTCAATTAAATTTCCAATTCCGCTAGTTCAGCGAGAACCATCCAATACGGAGTAATAAACATAAGTAAAGTACCTCAAGGCTACTAAAAATGTAAATTTTATCTCTCTCCAATTGTAGCATAGACAACTCCTCTCAAAATACATTTAAAAATTTTCTTTTTATTGGTATCTCTTCAAGAGAAACTCCCTCATTCTGTGCATCAATAATATTAGCAATATTTCCCTGAAAATCTTTTCTCACCTTTTTTTCGAGCTTGCANTTGTAGCATAGACAACTCCTCTCAAAATACATTTAAAAATTTTCTTTTTATTGGTATCTCTTCAAGAGAAACTCCCTCATTTTGTGCATCAATAATATTAGCAATATTTCCCTGAAAATCTTTTCTCACCCTTTTTTCGAGCTTGGATTCGCAGAGTTAATACTGGGGATTAAATAATTCATGTTCCTCAAAACTAAATTTGCATGACATTTTTTTAAAACAGCCAACTGTCGCATGTTGTGTGACTTATCAACTCATAATTAATATCACATCAAAACCTTTAAGGTCTAAGAAATTCAATCAACTAATAACTGATGTTCTCTAATATGCACCCTACAGTTTGGGTACACGACATCTCTTAACTCAAAACCACCCGTAGGAGTTGTCACGGTCAAAATTAAACTCAAATGTTTTGGGTTTTACACCCAATCACACTACTACTCTAAGAGACACGGAAGCATGTATAGACTTTAAAATTTTATTAATTTCAATCACATTTCTTACAACATCATTACCATCCTTTTTTGTAACTATCTCTTGTTTGTACAAAATACCAAACAAATTAACTAGTCTTAGTCACTACACAAATAATTCTATTAACATCATTTTGTATCCCTCAAACTAAAACCGATTAAAGTCTACAAAACCATTCAAATCCAACCTATTCCTCTAGTATTCATAAACCTATGCGTTGATACCACTCTTGTCACACCCCTATCTTGAATCATATAGGGTGGGCGACGAACTGGCCACCAAGGCCTTAACCAATCAACCTTGTACATAATAAATGTAAAATATAGCGAAAGACAAATAATAAAGTGATCCTTCACCAACCTAATGAATACCAAATGAATAAACTAAATATCACCAACATCATTACTAATTCCATGTAAAACAATAATTAAACCTTNCTCAAACTAAAACCGATTAAAGTCTACAAAACCATTCAAATCCAACCTATTCCTCTAGTATTCATAAACCTATGCGTTGATACCACTCTTGTCACACCCCCATCTTGAATCATATAGGGTGGGCGACGAACTGGCCACCAAGGCCTCAACCAATCAACCTTGTACATAATAAATGTAAAATACAGCGAAAGACAATAATAAAGTGATCCTTCACCAACCTAATGAATACCAAATGAATAAACTAAATATCACCAACATCATTACTAATTTCATGTAAAACAATAATTAAACCGTAAGGTTCACTACTCTAAACATGAGTAACATTATTCCCAAAATAATTAAATACTTGTCTCAAAACTACAAAAGACATTTATTCCTGAAGACCTACAATACAATAAATCTTCAAGTCCTCTAATTCCTTGTATATCCGTAGACTTACTCCTCACTTTGATCCTCTCCTGAAAAATGTTAAATATTTGGATGAGTACAATGACTCGTGAATAAAAACCACCTCTAAGGAGGTGTAAAAATAAATCACACAGTTTATATACAAAAATAAACTTTGATACACACATAAATACAACAAATTGTACCCCCATTTCCTCCTACATAATCATGTAAACAAAATAATCTCATGATCACAAATAACATTATAAATGAAAAGACNCTGAAGACCTACAATACAATAAATCTTCAAGTCCTCTAATTCCTTGTATATCCGTAGACTTACTCCTCACTTTGATCCTCTCCTGAAAAATGTTAAATATTTGGATGAGTACAATGACTCGTGAATAAAAACCACCTCTAAGGAGGTGTAAAAATAAATCACACAGTTTATATACAAAAATAAACTTTGATACACACATAAATACAACAAATTGTACCCCCAATTCCTCCTACATAATCATGTAAACAAAATAATCTCATGATCACAAATAACATTATAAATGAAAAGGCATTTATAACCCAAAATACCCACTCATTTTCACAAATAACTTTATAAATGAAAAGAGATACATATATTTTGTATGGGTTATTACAGCTTTATCAAAACACACACATAAGATTCTATTCAGAAATATTTGTTCAGCAAACTATGAGGGCAGGGAAGTTTAATCTGAGTTAATGCTATAGTTTGCTTCCAAATCAAATATAACAAGCATTTTTCTTCTAGCTTAATCACTATCCAAGAGAAGGTGGTATTAGCATTATATCAATCTAAACTGCCAAAAAAAATAGAAGCTACCTAGGAATATATTCTTTATTGTCCAATAAAAAATTACATATTTACCATGCAGGAGAACAAAATTCTTAAATTTCTTGGTTTCATGTGGAATCCCTTGTCATGGGTAATGGAAGCTGCAGCAGTGATGACAATTGCTCTTGCTAACGGTGGAGTGAGTTTAAAAAACCATAGCATGTTCTGGGATATTATAGCATATCCCAAGTTTAATTTTAATTTTCTTTTTTCTCTTTTGCTCTTTTGTTATGTATATTATCAGGTTCATAACTTTTTATTGTGAGTAATGTTTCAGGGACAGGGTCCTGACTGGGAGGACGTTGTAGGGATAGTGGGCCTGTTATTTATCAATTCAACGATTAGTTTTATAGAGGAAAATAATGCTGGGAATGCAGCAGCTGCCCTTATGGCACGTTTAGCTCCAAAAACAAAGGTTCGTCAGTTAACTGGTTATCTTTTTTCCTTTTTTTGTGCAAACTATAAATTACAGTAAGCTTTGTGGTGTTTTTTGAGTAACGCATGTTTGCTTTTTACCCTTTTTATCTATTTACTAGATGCAGTCTTTCACTTCCTCCTTTAAAATGCATTTTCTTGATTTTATTATCTCATGCAATTTGCCATTNATAGGACTTAAAGTACCTTTTGTAGTCATGGAATCTAGATTTTTACCATGTTTGCATCTATTTATATCTTGTCTTGTAGGTACTCAGAGATGGGCAATGGCAAGAGAGAGATGCAGCTATTCTAGTGCCAGGAGACATTATTAGCATCAAGCTCGGTGATATCATCCTTGCAGATGCCCGCCTGCTCGAGGGAGATCCACTGAAAATTGACCAGGCAAATGCTTTAGAAAAGCTTAAGAAAGAGCTACATTTTATATAAGATTGTGCTTTTGCCTGAAGAAACTTTAGGTGATCCATATTGTGGTAACATTATCTGATTCAAATTTTTTGTGCAGTCAGCTCTTACTGGAGAATCTCTGCCCGTTACCAAGAAGACAGGCGACGAAGTTTTTTCTGGCTCAACTCGTAAACATGGAGAGATTGAAGCTGTAGTAATAGCAACTGCANCCTTGCAGATGCCCGCCTGCTCGAGGGAGATCCACTGAAAATTGACCAGGCAAATGCTTTAGAAAAGCTTAAGAAAGAGCTACAATTTATATAAGATTGTGCTTTTGCCTGAAGAAACTTTAGGTGATCCATATTGTGGTAACATTATCTGATTCAAATTTTTTGTGCAGTCAGCTCTTACTGGAGAATCTCTGCCCGTTACCAAGAAGACAGGCGACTAAGTTTTTTCTGGCTCAACTCGTAAACATGGAGAGATTGAAGCTGTAGTAATAGCAACTGCAATTAATTCTTTTTTAGGAAAAGCTGCATATCTAGTTGACTCCACTAAATTCGTTGGGCATTTCCTACAGGTGATATCATAAAATTTCCATATCTAATTTGGAACAGTTTCAGCCTTTCCTCGTCCATTGAAACTATGTTCATTGCTTAATTAGGTAGACTGCCTTGAAGTTTTATAACTCAAGTAAATTGATGCATTCCTCTTGTGATATCTTAGTCATTTTTAATCGTAATGAAATAAATTTTATCAAAGGAAGTCCGTAGTTTTCTTAGGTTGAGTAACTTCAAAATTTTGACGTGAGCATTGATCTTTTGCTGTGATTAAACTGAAAATAAGGTACAATAATATTCCAAACTTTTTCCTTAAATAATTTTTTTTGGCACTAAGCCAGGCCAAAAGCCTGAGAAAAGGTTGCTGTTCCGAAGTCAGAACTGTTTGATATCAGTAAATTCTTGTCGTTTTTGTATTTCAACAGATTGTGAGATGCATAAATGTTTTTCCCTGCAGGTCCTTACCTCCATTGGGAACTTCTGCATTTGCTCTATTGCTATGGGAATGCATTTTGAAATCATTGTAATGTTCGCTGTGCAGCACAGTTCTTACAGGAGTGTANATCTTTTGCTGTGATTAAACTGAAAATAAGGTACAATAATATTCCAAACTTTTTCCCTAAATAATTTTTTTTGGCACTAAGCCAGGCCAAAAGCCTGAGAAAAGGTTGCTGTTCCGAAGTCAGAACTGCTTGATATCAGTAAATTCTTATCGTTTTTGTATTTCAACAGATTGTGAGATGCATTAATGTTTTTCCCTGCAGGTCCTTACCTCCATTGGGACCTTCTGCATTTGCTCTATTGCTATGGGAATGCTTTTTGAAATCATTGTAATGTTCGCTGTGCAGCACCGTTCTTACAGGAGTGGAATCAATAACCTTCTTGTGCTCTTGATTGGTGGAATACCCATAGCAATGCCGACAGTACTATCTGTTACGCTTGCAATAGGTTCTCATCGTCTCTCTCAACAGGCACAACTCTAAATAGCTACGAGGCAACTATACTGTAAAGCTATGATGAGAGTTGTAATCTAAAGAGACTATCTTAAATATGAAAAAGCAACAGAGTAGATTACATTNCAGGAGTGGAATCAATAACCTTCTTGTGCTCTTGATTGGTGGAATACCCATAGCAATGCCGACAGTACTATCTGTTACGCTTGCAATAGGTTCTCATGTCTCTCTCAACAGGTACAACTCTAAATAGCTACGAGGCAACTATACTGTAAAGCTATGATGAGAGTTGTAATCTAAAGAGACCAATCTTAAATATGAAAAAGCAACAGAGTGGATTACAATGCAATGCTTATGTGCTCCACGACTCCTATGCATACTTAAATAAGTGAACAGATATTGATTATTTTTCGGAGTTCTTGACTGAATCTTGTTTGATAAATTAAAAAGTTACTGTCTTCTTTTAGTTTGAGCAAAAGCAATCTTAATGCTGATTTTTCTGCTATTCTTAATTTTGTTACTTAAGGGTGCCATCACAAAGAGGATGACAGCAATTGAAGAAATGGCTGGCATGGATGTACTTTGCAGTGATAAAACTGGGACCCTTACCATGAATCGCCTTACTGTTGATCGCAATCTTATTGAGGTACAATGTTGACTACATGGGAGTCTGTACATTCGACAAACTAACCTACATATCCTGTTGGTAAAAATGGATAAATAAATAAACAAATAGTATTAGGCAAAGTCTGGTGATGAAGTAAAATATNAGTGATAAAACTGGGACCCTTACCATGAATCGCCTTACTGTTGATCGCAATCTTATTGAGGTACAATGTTGACTACATGGGAGTCTGTACATTCGACAAACTACTTTATTAACCTACAAATCCTGTTGGTAAAAATGGATAAATAAATAAACAAATAGTATCAGGCAAAATCTGGTGATGAAGTAAAATGTCTAAACAAGAGTTGCATGATGAATGAAAGTTGCTTGAAGAGCTTGAACTGAAATGTTGATAGATCCTGCTCAATCCATTTAATATGATTTTGAAGCTTTCTCGACCATTTAATGTGGTTTTGAAGCTTTATAGTAGCGTCGAAAAGTTCCTGACCAGACATATCGTGTAGTCATTTGCTTATTACACACAGACTCGCTATACAGTATCTATTATTTTATCTCATATACTAGGGGATCCTTGTTTGTGCCAGTAAGGTATATGTTGTTTCATACTCACTGCTTTGAGAATTGAGTTGCTTAGATCTTATTCGAAATCTAAATCTCATCTAAAAGATTTCATGTGATGACTAGTCCATTACGTAGGTTTTAAACAAAGATATGGTTGTATTGCTTGCTGCCAGAGCATCTAGACTGGAGAATCAAGATGCCATTGACACAGCACTCATTAAAATGCTTGCTGATCCAAAGGAGGTAAAGAAGAAATATACAATAGCATGACTCTGAAATTTCTTTGTTTCATTCATCTTTCTTTCACTTAATGTTAATCGNTATTCGAAATCTAAATCTCATCTAAAAGATTTCATGTGATGACTAGTCCATTACGTAGGTTTTAAACAAAGATATGGACAAAGATATGGTTGTATTGCTTGCTGCCAGAGCATCTAGACTGGAGAATCAAGATGCCTTTGCACAGCACTCATTAAAATGCTTGCTGATCCAAAGGAGGTAAAGAAGAAATATACAATATCATGACTCTGAAATTTCTTTGTTTCATTCATCTTTCTTTCACTTAATGTTAATCGAACACAAAATGGAAGTGAGATTTTCCATAATTTCCATTTGGTCTGGAGGCCCGTGCAAACATTACAGAAGTGCATTTCTTGCCATTTAATCCTGTGGATAAACGTACTGCACTTACTTACATTGGTTCTGATGGTGATTGGTATCGGGCAAGCAAAGGATCTCCGGAACAGGTATAAATATCCTCAAATGATAGTTACCTTAAATTTCTCTTATTAAATGGTTATTAGCTGTATTTGTGTTTGTTGCAAGGATTATGTCTGTAAGTTTTCTCAAGTAATACTTTCAGGAGCTGAGAAATTTTTATAACTTAAATTGAACACAAGGACTTAAGACTAAAAGAAATGATGACTTGGGCTACTAATTATTCAATGGGAAACCCTTGCAGGCCATCATTTTGAGATATTATTTTATCACTGGAACTTAAAAGATTGGATTGCAGCAACATCAATACAAAAATTGTGCCTCTAGGTTCTTCTTTCTGATTTGACTTTATAATACTAATAGTCTACAAAACGTCAACTTAACATCCTTGACCACTGTCTATAGTGCTAATGTGATTATCTATGATGCCACTTGGCTTCCATTTAAACCACCATATGCTCTAGACTTGTACCTTTTTTTTGAAACATAACTTTTCTACTTAAATGAAAAGATTCCAGAATTTTCCCATTTATTATGCCATGTTGAGTCCTTTACAGTGTCCTTTTGTGAAAAAGAAGTGTTATTCAGTGTACATTGTGTTGGCAAAGTTTCTATCAGTTTATAGAGATCTAATTTTAGTGATTGTTTGATTTGGTGGGGCATATGAAGTGGATTTATTATATGTGATACTGTTTTTTAGCATCTTAATTTTTATCCTCTATTTTTACCATCCAAATCAGATTCTGAATTTGTGCCAAGAGAAACAAGAGATATCTGCAAAAGTACACGCCATCGTTGACAAATTTGCTGAAAGGGGGCTTAAGGTCTCTTGGGGTTGCTTATCAAGTATGATGCTCTCTGTATTTCTCTATTCATATTGCATTTGGTTAAAGGATGGTTTGGTGGTGGCAATAGTGTTAGGGACTCTTAGTTTCCTGTGGCATGAAATTGATAAAGCCAAAGATTCAAGAGATGTTAACTAGCTGCCATAATAATTCGCAGATGTGTGAGAATCCATAATCATCTGCTAAATAACCTGTAACTAGGTACCATTGACTATGATTTTTGAGATGGACTGTTACAGGACATCTAATCCAGTGAGAGTTTAGTTTTTAAACACACTTTATGGTCCACAGGTTTTGGACTATACAAATAGCTTAACATGCATATGGTTGACATAGGTTTGCCATTAGCACATTTGTTCATTTCTTATAATCATCCTTTCAGGAAGTTCAGGAAAAATCAAAGGAGAGCCCTGGAGGACCTTGGACATTATGTGGGTTATTGCCCTTATTTGATCCACCAAGACTTGATAGTGCCGAGACTATTCACAGGGCACTTAACCTAGGGGTTTGTGTTAAGATGATAACAGGAATATGTGTGATTTTTCCCTTCTGTTTTTTGTTATTTTTAGCAATCAGTTAGCTCTAGTTGCAAAACTAATGATAATTAATGAATAAATCATATTCTTTGAATGGTTTTTGATTGCTGTTCTAACAATTTCTAGAGCATATACCAATAGCACAATGGAAATCCTATTATGCCATTATTTAATTTATCAAATTTATAATTTAAACATGGCTAGGGTTCTCTATCTTGGCTCACTTACTTTGAGATCATCAGACACCTCAGAGTGTTGTACATAAGTTAAGTTGTGCCCTAAAAAGTCAAGATAGGAAAAAGACCTATATTGATTTTTTCAATTCTCATATTTTCTTATAACCAAAAGCATAATTAACAAGCAGGAGGAGGTTCATGATGCCTGTAACTGAAAATGCAAGATCAGCTTCTAATTGTGGTTTCAGATTGATGTATGCAAATCATGTTTTGCACTATTATGACAAACACAAATGGCACAGTGATCTGCTGAAGTAAGATACTAATATGTTGCTGTCATGTGTTAATATAGGAGATCAGTTGGCAATTGCGAAGGAGACAGGTAGACGACTTGGCATGGGAACCAATATCTNATTATGACAAACACAAATGGCACAGTGATCTGCTGAAGTAAGATACTAATATGTTGTTGTCATGTGTTAATATAGGAGATCAGTTGGCAATTGCGAAGGAGACAGGTAGACGACTTGGCATGGGAACCAATATCTACCCCTCTTCGGCACTATTCGGCCATGACAAGGATGAATATGAATGTCATTGAAAAAGCAGATGGATTTGCTGGTGTTTTTCCCGGTAACTGAATGTTATTTTCTGTTCAACATTTTCAGTAGTGTGGGGAAAGCTTATCTTGCGGAAAGAAATAAAAAAGATATAAAATAAACAATGTAACGAAGAATCCACCGATTGAACTAAACTTCCACATCCTTGTTCTGCCCAAGTTTGGGCTATCCATTGTTGTTAATTTGTGAGACTAAGAAATGCAGCTATTTAGTGAATGAACTCATGAAAAGACATAGGACTTTCCTATTGTATTCCATTTAGTTGGATTGAACATCAGGCTCATGAATTAGATACCTGTGCTCTGCTGCGGCTGCCCCTAGACTTTGTAAATGAAGTCTCATTGGAGTTCCTTTTCACTTCTGTTACATTTTGGCTTTTTTACTTTCAACTGATGGGTTAATCAACTGTCAAGAAGTTGAAAGTTGATCTTCAAAGAATGCTATGCTTTGACTTCCCAATCAGAAGAACTGCAATAATGCCATTGGCAAACAAGTTGTTGTGGAGAGGTCGATACCTGTCATTTATGTTGATCAAATCAATCAACCAATCAATCATTCCGTTTTTTTCTTCAGTAAATACAACAATAGGATTTTCAGTACACAAAAATGAGGACGGATTGATGCAATATAGTAAGTGCTTCAACTTGTACATCACCGCTGTTTGTGAATCCAAGCCTGCCAGTCTTCATTTATTCATCCCATCGTAACTCTAGATGATTGGCCTATATAACTTTAGATTTGTGTAATCTGTTAAATATCAAGTCATTTTCATCTGCATCATTTCTCATCTTTAAATTTGATAAATTTTAGCAAACCTATTTGAGAGCCCCAAGGCCCTGATCAACATTAACTATTAGAGTCCACCATTGTGTTGTCCCATTCTACAGACTGCATTCCTCAATGCACCTGAGCATACCATGTCAACGCAGCACAGCTCAGTTTCCAGGTAGAATCTTAATCAGTCACAATAGCCCAGGTGCTGATGTAGTTTTAGAATCGCAGAGGAGGTGAAGGAGGAGAAGTATGATGCATTCCTGGCTCAATTTTGGGCATGTCCATTTCTGTCTTGCATGTTTGTTACCCAATTTAATAATTTCTGGCTGATAGGTATGATCCCTGCATCCATTATGCACCAGTGCCTGCCCCTGTACTTTTAACTTTAAGAAAACCTTTATGTCATTGAATCGGTTGCTTATCTGTATTGGTGTTTTAAACTATTTGGCGTTCATATTTCAACTGTTTGTTCCTTATAAGCAACGCTCTTGTTCGGATTTGTGGTGTTAACAATGTATGCAAATGTTTCAAATCACTGTTTCTCGTTTAAATTACTTGTTTCCTGATTCTAGTGATTATTGCTATGCAACATCCAGAACACAGGTACGAAATTGTAAAGATCCTACAAGAACAGAAGCATGTGTGTGGAATGACTGGAGATGGTGTAAATGATGCACCTGCTTTAAAGAAAGCAGATATTGGAATAGCAGTTGCAGATGCAACAGCTGCTGCTAGGGATGCTGCTGATCTCGTCTTAACAGAGCCTGGCTTAAGTGTGATTTTCAGTGCTGTTTTAACAAGCAGGGCTATATTTCAAAGAATGAAGAACTATACAGTTGAGTACCTTTGTTTTCTTACATTTTTTTTTCTTTCTGGAAAAATAAAAATCAGTAGCATAATTTTACCATCAGTTCTTTACCACATACGTGCTAGAGTCCTGAGAGTAATGAAATTTCAGCCAAGGAAGTAAGTTGATGCACTTGAAATTCCTTTTGACAAACGCAAACCAATCAGATGCATGTACTGCTAATGAGCCACTTTTGTATATACTTCACATAACTATGGACCTAGATATTGCCCATGGATAATTCCAGGAGTAGAGATGAATTAGGTGCACTTGGTCCTTGATGGCCTTTATCTATGAGCATCCATGGCACATCAGAGAACTTATAGTGAGGTGTCATTTGCTCCTGTGAAGGTTTCATAATGATATTGATTACTTATGAATCTGCAGATATATGCTGTCTCCATTACTATTCGGATTGTGGTAAGCTGCTGGCATCCTTGTAAATCCGTTGTTTCAAGTGTTCTGTCTATACGAAGTTATAAATTTCATCTTTATTATGGAGTATCATAAGTTCGTGATTTTTTTTCAGCTTGGTTTTACACTTCTGGCATTGATATGGGAATATGACTTCCCACCTTTCATGGTTCTGATAATAGCTATACTGAATGATGGTAATGTTTCAACCTATGAATATGTAGACCTTCTATATTTTGAGCAAAATTATTGGTCAGTAATCTTTCCAGTTTGATTCAAGAACTAAAAAAAAAATGTATTCATCAATGAAACCAATCAAAAAAACGAAAAATTGAGAGAGAGAGATAGAAGGACAAGAAATTCAAATGTCTGGTCTTAGTTTTGCTTTATGCGTTGTCAACCTGAATTTGCTCTGCCAAGAACAAAACTTAATGCTTATTTATTTCAATTTTTTAGAAAATTTCTTGAATAAGTTTCATCTGATAGAATATTTTCTCCTTGCTTTGAATCTGTTCCTTCTCTTATCACTTATTCAGTTATTTGTCTTTTTACTCTCTGTTGGCTGCTAAGTGAAACTTTCAAGCATTCATTAGTTAGATATGTAGACCTTGTTATAAGAGCATAGTGAGATGTTTCTTTGGTGTAAGATAAAAACACACTAACTAGAAAAGTCCAGTCTAGTAGGAATCTTGATAGAACGAGAGATGATTGAATGATCCAAAAACAAAATTTTTAGTTTGGTCTGACAAAGAGGAGAAGATCTATTTTTAGATGCTGATTCTTAGCCATCTTAATAAAATAATTTCATGTAAAATCGTATGCTAAAAGATATGTTTATGTTTTGTAAACAGGTACCATTATGACTATTTCTATAGATAGGGTGAAACCATCTCCAAGGCCTGACAGTTGGAAGCTGAATGAGATATTTGCAACCGGAATTGTCATTGGCACTTATCTGGCTTTAGTGACTATCTTATTCTACTGGGCTGCAGCAAGCACCACTTTCTTTGAGGTATCATTATTTCATTATTCGGTTTCCAGTTCTTGAAAGCTTGAAACATTGATATGTTCTGTTTCTGATATAATACTTGGTGAATTACTGATTTGGCTGCAGACTCACTTCCATGTGAAGTCGCTATCAGGAAATACTGAAGAAATTTCATCTGCTATATACCTGCAAGTCAGCATTATCAGCCAGGCTCTCATTTTTGTCACACGCAGTCAAAGTTGGTCATTTCTGGAGAGACCTGTGACTCTTTTGATGTGTGGCTTTGTGGTAGCTCAATTGGTAAGCATTAGGCAAATACCCTGAGCTTTTAGAAAGAGCTTCGCATGCATGGGTTCCTTGCTTCCTCTATTGATTCTTTTTTTCACGTGTTTGACCTTCAATGAATGTCCCTACAGACATGCATAGAGTACCTGAATAAACCCTTGAATTGGTTTGGCCGTCTTGTTGGACCAANCCTGAGCTTTTAGAAAGAGCTTCGCATGCATGGGTTCCTTGCTTCCTCTATTGATTTTTTTTTTCACGTGTTTGACCTTCAATGAATGTCCCTACAGACATGCATAGAGTACCTGAATAAACCCCTGAATTGGTTTGGCCGTCTTGTTGGACCAACTTTTACATGTGTCTTTAACAAAGCTAGTACAAAAGAGCAGCACAATCTGAGAGATTTCAAATAATGGATTTGAGTTCATTGTTTTCTTGGCATGTAGGTTGCGACCCTGATTGCAGTCTATGCGAATATATGCTTTTCTCCAATTAGTGGCATTGGGTGGGGGTGGGCAGGAATTATATGGCTATATAGTCTGGCTTTCTATGTACCCCTGGATATTATTAAGTTTCTTGTTCACTATGCTTTGAGTGGGAAAGCCTGGAATCTACTGTTTGATAGGAAGGTTTGTCAATACTTTCATTTCCTGTTGCATTTTTAAATTCTGAAAATTATTCACTTTGTTGGAATGGTTTGTCATGCTTTATATCTAATTCTGGGTCTCAACAGACAGCATTTACATCCAGAAAAGATTATGGGAAAGAAGAAAGGGCAGCTAAATGGGTACTCTCTCAAAGATCACTACAAGGGTTGATGTCTGGAGAGTTTAGGATTAAGAGAAGCAGGTCTTCTCTGCTTGCTGAGCAGACCGGACGGCGTGCAGAAATAGCCAGGTGTGCACACTTCTTTTCGTTGAACTGTCTTTATTATGTATTTTATTATGTCTATTATCACATGATTTTGTAGTTACACTGTTTATTACAGGAATAATTGGCTTCTAGGTACCATTTCTTCCTAAATTAATTTGGCTTCTTTTGAAACTTGGTAAAACTACCATTCAACTTTTGCAGGCTAGGAGAGTTGCACACTTTGAGAGGACATGTAGAATCAGTAGTGAGGCGTAAGAATTTGGACTTAAATACAATCCAAACAGCACATACAGTCTAAAGCCATGATGTCTGCTGAGATAATCGATACGCTATAAGACAAGCTTTTCTGCAGCTGATGACATGATAATATGTTGTGCAAGAGAAATGTCAGGACAGTTGGTTGAGGTGCTTTTGGTGAACTATGCAGTATCATTCTAATTTCTTTAGACTCCAATGTTCTAAGAGATAATTTGAAAAGAAGCCTTCTTAGCAGATAATTCATGCCATTTCTTATTGATGTATTGCAATTATTGTTATTTTTTGGGTAGAGGACAAGACTGTCTTCAGTAAGAGTTGGATATTTTTACTTCTTTTTTGCCAAGATCTTTATGTAGTGGGTTAACACTTCTGGAAATGATAAAGCTCCAAACATGGTAGAAATTTCGTCATTAGTCCTGCTTATCAAAAGGATTCTGCTGTGTGTTTTGCCAAAATGATGGGAAATCCTTTCTTGTTGCCACAAAATTGTGTTGCTTCAGGGCAGCTTAAAACGCCGCGTGTTTCGGACATAAACACAAGATTGCACATTTATTCAAAAAACAGTAAGCATTTTCTGCTCAGATCAATACCACCATATATCAGTGCAACAATGTAAGCAAATGAGATTGTTTCACTCAAACATGCAAAAAACAAAATTTTATTATACATAAATCCTCAAATAAACCAATAAAATCAGGTCACTTCCTAATGCTACATGACCATTTTTCCATAACTCAAGATGAGTTCAAATCTCACCTCTCAAACTCATGATTTGACTACTGCATTTGCTTTGGAAATCCAAATTCCGCCGTGATAGAAATCACCATTATTTGCAAGAGAAACTTTCTTATAAGGAGGACATACGAATAGTTCTACCCCTTCCAAGCCTTACAGAGTTGACGTAATCCATGGGACTGTGTGCAGAAATACCAGGGAGTGCCAGTCCTACTATCCTGAACAGAATGGATTCCCAGCACTCCTTATATTCCGGCCCTTTTACGTACCCCATAGCCAAACTTCTTATCAGCTCCCAAACAGCATTCAGGTATGCTGGAATTAGGTATCGCAACCCAAAGTAGTTCGGGTTTGGCTCTTCATCCACTTTCTTCAAGAAAAACACACACACAAAAAATAACCAACACAGTGTTAGCAACAACGTTGATCAAAAAACTTTGGACCACTGCATGCAGAACTTGTAATAGAAATCCAAAAAGAAAACATGTTCTACAACTTTAAGATTGCATAACGAAGTTGTAAAGTTTCTGATACGTCATATCCTAAGTTTCTGGAGTATGTCATCATGATTCTTATATAGTTAGAACCAAACCCAATGACAATAAGAGTTTACAAGAATAAAAACAAAAAGTACCCTTCCTTCAACCTGAAAGTTCTGCCCTTTCCTCCTGATCTATGTGGCACTTATAGTTTAGGGACATAAATCTTTGTTGATAGCCCCTATATTATGAATAAACTCTGTGGCAGATATCTCCAGATTTATCGTTTCTAAAAACATGTTATATTGCAAATAGAAACAAGATAAGAACATGGATGGTGAATCTCCTTTATAAAATCTTTAGCAATAGAAACTTAGAAATTGAAGGATATACATTGAATAGGAATACCAGAAAACTTACTTGCCCAATGTAGAGGCTGTTGTAGTAGAGGCACACCCCAAAATGCTTATACAAGAAGGTTCTGTCATCATAAGGCAACCTCGGAACAAGGTCATTGCAGTAGACTACCCTAAAGTATTTTGGAACCGGATACTCTAGATGGGCTTCCATGAACCTAACCAATTGTATATTGCCAATTCTTGGCTGTCCAAATGTGTACACACCCAACAACCTTTGCATGACCTCCTCCTCCTCATGTAACACTAGCAACGTTGGGAACAATATGGCAAGGGCCCCTCCTAAGCTATGCCCAGTGACCACAAATTTGGCATTCTTGTGCTCTGTCAGTAAGCTCTTGAGCACACTTTTCACACAAAAGTATGCAGTCATCTCTATCATCTCTGGTGTGAGCTTCGTCTCTCCAGTACTAGATGGTCCTTCAAAATCAGAAGACTGATCCCCTCCACCATGTTGTGTGTCCGAATCAATAGATGAGGATCGTGATTCAGAACCTTCTGAAGAGCCTGTTGTTGAATCAACACCATTTGGAGAGGAAAACTGTGTGCTTGTCATTTGAAGATATTCGTGGAAGCTGGTGGTATCAACTCTGCTGCCCAAACCTAAGGCTTCCAAAAATCCCATGTGCACTTTTCCTAGTTTTGGGATCTCATACCAAGAATAGTCAAAATCGGTACTCCAGTCATCTGCATCAAATGGCTCTGTGCCCCTGAAGCTGATCAATATCAAATCTGCATCTTTTGGCTTGTCGCAGAGTATGAAAAGTTGGGTGGATTTGTCCTTCTGATAATCTATCAAACATATACCAAAGACCTATAAATTAGGAAAAAAAAAATTCAACAAAATTTTCAAGAGAAGGAAGCAAAACACATACTAAATGCATCTGCTTTTATCAAAAGCAATCTGTAAAGCTAGATAATTTTGGAATTTTCATTAAACACATGCATGCAAGATTTTCGTACCGTTCCAGCAGTTGTAGAACTCCACAAAATGCATCTGCTTTTGTCAAAAAAGTGACACTACAGAAGTTAATATCCAATACACACACACACACACACACACACAGAGCAATGATAAAAAGGACATGCCTTCCAGTGATGATTTACAACATTTTCTACGACTTTGGCATTCTCGTAGGATAATTTGGCAGCCATCATACAGAGGTCCATAAGAGGCCAATTTCCAATTTCTGCTTTCATGCTTCTCTCCCCAAAAGAAGTTTCATCAGTGTCTTCCTCTGAACCGGTCCTAGATAGATCTATTCGCCCATCTATATGCCCTATTAAGCTTATAAAAGTCTCAGATCCTCTTTGTGGCATCACTACCTTTCCTGCATCGTGAACATTATCGCAGTACTTCATCAGGTTACATTACTAAGACTGCAACAAGTAATACAATCTTAGCTGACGATGAGATTGCCATAAAGACGTAGAGTCGCATGCATATATATTTNCCTGCATCGTGAACATTATCGCAGTACTTCATCAGGTTACATTACTAAGACTGCAAGAAGTAATACAATCTTAGCTGACGATGAGATTGCCATAAAGACGTAGAGTCGCATGCATATATATTTCAATATATTGCATATAATCATCATTATTATGTAAATCATCTAGGCTGAAGTTGCATACATATTATCCAGAATAACAAAAAAATTGCAATAAATGTCAAATCCCATTACTTCATTACTCTAATAAGTCACAAATGTGAGAGACTAAAACATTGAATCCTCTAATAGTTGTCAGCAAACTTCCTGAAGTTTCTTTGAAATCTAACAACTTATGCTATGAAAATCCATTCACACCCCAAAATCCAAACATTCATAGGATATATAAGATTAAAATTCCTATCTTGTAGTTGCGAGTAATGAAGAACCGTCCCAACTGTNCACACCCCAAAATCCAAACATTCATAGGATATATAAGATTAAAATTCCTATCTTGTTGTAGTTGCGAGTAATGAAGAACCGTCCCAACTATGTATCTTTTGACATCATACGACAGTTACGACTACAACATAAACCGGTAAATTATACACATAGGACAGAGTTTCTATGAGACCCCTCAAACTTTTCACATCCGAGCNATGAAGAACCGTCCCAACTGTGTATCTTTTGACATCATACGACAGTTACGACTACAACATAAACCGGTAAATTATACACATAGGACAGAGTTTCTATGAGACCGAACTTGGGATGTAACCCTCAAACTTTTCACATCCGATCTAAAACAGGGTATGGTCATAGTTTATTGACTAGCATGCATGTATACAGTTTATCATTGCTGGGAAGGAATAAAATCTACTTGGTTTCTATAATGGAAGCACTTGCTACTAATAACAGAAAATAAAGTATTACCAAATAAGATTGGAGTGATACAACACTATTAAGTATTAACTCATCCTCAACCCAGATATGCCGTCAATCAACCACAGCAGCCACCATAGATAGATCGAAATGGCAAATTAAAGCAGTTAGAAAAAGACATATGAACTAGGGATGGCAATTTCAAATACAACACGAAAACATGATTTGGAATTGACACGAAATTAGCAGGTTAGAATTAACTATTTCTCGACAAGAACTTGTATATAACATGACGTGTATAAGTTGAGTCAGTGTCAAATACGAATAATACGATTAACAAGTTTAAATAATATTATAAGAATAAAATGTTAAATTTTTATTATATTTTATCAAAGTAGTGACTTAATTCTTGTACACAAGGATATTTTTACACATTTTTATTATTATATTTATTGAGTTAATTTTTATATAAAAAGTATGAGCATAATAATGAAATTTTGAACATAAAACTAAGTGTCACAATTTTTATTCATGGATTTTATGGGTCAACACGAATAAGAAATGAAAATAAATAAATCGATATATACGATACAATTAATTAAACGAGTTCAATTAGAATTGATTAGTGCGTGATATAAATTTGAAATAACACGAGAAAAACGTCAACAGACGTCGCACGATTGCGGCTCTAAATTATCAACCAACATAATTGGATGTGTGTTCTGTTCTGTATGTAAGGAGGGTGTAGTGTAGTACCATGGAGAAGGTTGCAGAGTAAACCGAGGAGGTTGCCATTGAGGGAGAAAAGATTAAGAACAAACTCGATCAAGTAGCCAATCCATTTCATGGGCTTCCCAGAAAGGGATAAGATTTTCCTCACTATTATAGACACGAATATCACCCATCGATGGTCAGGCGCCGTCACATCACCACCACCCAGCTCCTCCGCAAGGACGCCATAGTCAGAGCTTTCGATAAACTTAGCAGCGCCCCTTTTGTCTGCCGATACCCAGAACCGTAAGAGGTCGAAAATCCCACCATTTTCAGGCCTAACAATCATATACCTGCTGTAACTCTCAGAAACAACAGTATTATCATTCTCCATAGCCATGGATATTATTCTCAGTGAACTTATCTGTTGACTGTTCTTCAAGAAATCTTAGAGAGAGAGAGAGAGAGAGAGAAGAGGCTTTGGAATTTGACACAACAGCGTTACGAATTTATATTGTGGAAAGGTAGTAAAGAGTCACGTGTAGAAAAAAGATGGCGGTTATGGCACAACATGTCCTGCATCCGTCATCGTCAAGCGTAATCTGTGTTTTTTCTTGGGGAGTGTGAATTACCACAGGAGGATCCTCATCCACAACCACCACAACGGCGTTGTGGGCCACGGACTACCCCATAATGGAAAAGGCAGAAGTATGGGCCAATGGAAGAGCCCATGAAGGAATTTCTGGAGTATGTGTCATGTCCAACACCATTTCTTTATCTGTTTTGATGGTTGAGAAACTAAATAAATATTATATATAATAGTAATACCACGTTATTATTGATATATTATAATATTAATTAATAATAAAATTCCAAATATGATAAGCGAACGTGTTATTTCAATGCATTAGTTATTCAATGTACTGGTTATTGACAATTATTACTGTTTATTTTTTATATTTCAGTCGTTTCAATAGATCACTGTATCACTATTTCACTCATTTATTGGATTAATATTAGACATTTACATTGTCGTCACGGATGGTGTCTCCAAGGGGCTATACTTCATTAGGGGCAGCCTAATAATACTTGAGGGCCTAAACAAAATTTTTAAATGGGGTCCCAAAATTATTTTTAGATGAATAATTTATTTAATTTTTATTTCTAAATATTTAAATTTATATCTTTTAGTGGGTATATTTAAGATAGAAATCAACTTAACTTGGAAATTATAGTTCAAGAAAATATAATTGTATAAATAGGATAGATTTATTGTAAATTTAGATAAAATAAAAGCGTAAAATTTTATAATTTTTTGTACAAGAATATAATGGGATCTTTTTTTTTCTTTTTGAATGCACATATTTTTATGATTTAAAGAACAATATTTTTAAAATATTTTTGATCATTTTACAAAATATCTTAATTTTTTTTTTTAAATTTATTATAATAATTTTGTGAAACATATATGAATGGGACTTTAGGCTACCGCCTCACTTGCTAATTATGGGGTCGGCATTACGCTTCGTAGGATTTTTGAATCCTTAACCTACCCTCAAGAGAAGTTTATCAAGCGGTTAAATTATTACTAAGCTAACTCTCGGGATCAATAATGACAATTATTAAAAGTGTGGGATTCACTAAATTAACATGATATGTCATCATTAGTTGATAATATTTTGTGTGCCCCACTTGGGTGGTTTTTCCATATATTTGTATTGTGTGATGAGGGAACGGCTTGGATTGATTTCTACTTAGCATATTTAGACCTTGATACCAAGTAAGACCAACAACTATTCCAAAAATTTAAATTTTTTCATAATGATATAACATAAGGGTTTTTTTTTATTTTTTTTATTTTCAAACTTTTATTTTATACTTTCAATGATTAAATTTTTCATATTGCACCTTTAATTAATCAAACATAAATCTATAATATAAAATATAACAGATTTTAATAAAATCAATCCGACAATCTCAAATAGATTCATATAACGGCCACCAACATCTCTATTAAAATAATTCATATTGTATCGTACTTTAAGACACGAGTTTTCTCTAATATCTATCGATTATCTCAGTTTATCCACCAATAATATTTTTAAATTTTTTTTTTTTTTTTTGGCTATTTTAACTTATGGATTCAACATTTGTCTCATTTTTAGATATGAGATTTTGTGTAATTATTTTTCTTTGAAAAAACATGATTTATTATCTCATGGTTATGGCTGCGTCATTATTTCACAATGAAAAGGTTTGGTACTTGGTGATACGTGAACGTATTGAGAAAGGGAGAAAGTTGGATGGGTGTGTGTGAGAGAGAATTGAAGCAAAACGAAATACAAAAAAGTCAAGTTGGTTAGGATGATCTATATATAGCTATTAATATGGCTAATATTGTTGATTGTTGATGTTAGCCTAAAACTAAAAGCTTTCCCTTGTGTAACTGCAAATAACAGCCCTCTTTATTCATCTTTTATCCGAAGTCTCTCACGTTCTGAGTTTAAATTTTTAACAATTTTTTGAGTTTCGGTCATGACAAATTTATTTATAATAAATATCTTAATTCTGGCATGAATGACTTTTCATTTGATCGAACTGGAGAAAGGATTAGTTGAAATGTCCGTAAATTAGTCCGAATGCCCAAATGTGTTTACTTTAAGTATTAGCAAAGAGAGATCAGAGAAAATAACGTCGGACTCACCTTATCCCTCTTCTATTCATGTTTGGATACACATTTTGGACCCAACATTATCATTTAAAAATAATACCGACCCAGATGAATAGTTTATTTAATATCACATACAACCTCTTAAATAAACTCACTTTTTTTTGGTAGGTTTAAATAATCTAATTGGAATGTGTTAGGTCAAAATATATTTTTACCTTCAAATATCTCTAGGATATAAATATCACTTTTTATTTTAAGGATTCTTTAATAATTTAATGTTTATACTATCATTCAATACTCTATCAAAACAAAATATTATATGAGATAAATGTGCTGTTTCTTAATATTTAAATCAAACATGGAATGAAGAGATATTATCATTATAATTAGTCAAAGGACAAGATAGATGAATAAAAGATGAACGACATTATTTAATCCGATCATTTTTAATGCATAAATCAAACATATCTTATTCTTGAACCCAAAAAAAAAAAAAAATAGTTCCACTTAGCTGGCATGGCATTGTGTTATGTTAGGTTGGATTTCAAATTGCACGGCCCAAAGCCCAATTAGCCAAGTGGCATTAGGGGACCTATCTCCAATGCAGTGAGCACCGTGGCTAAGAACCTACCTTCAATCTAATGACCGGTTACACTTAAAAAGCTACTCTCTCCATTTTTAAATATCTGTTATTTTACAGAATTTCTTTTATTTTATAATATCTATTATTTAATGAAACCAAAGCATAATTAATATTTTTTCTTCTAAATTTACTCTTAACTTTTCAATGCATTAGATTTGGTGGAGGCTAAGTGTCTTTCATATTCTTTTTTTTTTCAATACGTATTGAATAAGAGTATTTTAGTCTTGTGTAATTATTTTTTTACTCATATTATAACTATTTAATAACTTTTTTAATTTCTGTACAAAAAATTTAACCAACAAATATTTAAGAACGGAAAAAATATTAATCAAGTCGAACTTGTCAAGTGTCTAGTTGTTTAGATTTAATATAATTTTATTTGATATTGTACTATCCAACTACCCAACTAGAGTTCTCATAAATCCAAGTGAATCAAGACTAAAAGACACAAAACATGCAGGCTTGTGAGCCCGCATATCCCACCAAAACCCCTCAAACTTCTTTATAATCAATTGTAAAATCAATTTGATAGGACATTTTTAGAATATTCCAAGATGAAGACACGTGTCTTCGGTGTCACTGATCCTTGTTATCGAGATCACGTNACTATTCCAAAAATTTAAATTTTTTCATAATGATATAACATAAGGGTTTTTTTTTTGTTTTTTTTATTTTCAGACTTTTATTTTATACTTTCAAAGATTAAATTTTTCATATTACACCTTTAATTAATCAAACATAAATCTATAATATAAAATATAACAGATTTTAATAAAATCAATCCGACAGTCTCAAATAGATTTATATAACGGCCACCAACATCCCTATTAAAATAATTCATATTGTATCGTACCTTAAGACACGAGTTTTCTCTAATATCTATCGATTATCTCAGTTTATCCACCAATAATATTTTTAGATTTTTTTTTTTTTTTTTGGNTTTTTTTTTCTTTTTGAATGCACATATTTTTATGATTTAAAGAACAATATTTTTAAAATATTTTTGATCATTTTACAAAATATCTTAATTTTTTTTTTTANAACTTATCTGTTGACTGTTCTTCAAGAAATCTTAGAGAGAGAGAGAGAGAGAGAGAGAGAGAGAGAGGGGGGGAAGAGGCTTTGGAATTTGACACATCAGCGTTACGAATTTATAGTGTGGAAAGGTAGTAAAGAGTCACGTGTAGAAAAAAGATGGCGGTTATGGCACAACATGTCCTGCATCCGTCATCGTCAAGCGTAATCTGTGTTTTTTCTTGGGGAGTGTGAATTACCACAGGAGGATCCTCATCCACAACCACCACAACGGCGTTGTGGGCCACGGACTACCCCATAATGGAAAAGGCAGAAGTATGGGCCAATGGAAGAGCCCATGAAGGAATTTCTGGAGTATGTGTCATGTCCAACACCATTTCTTTATCTGTTTTGATGGTTGAGAAACTAAATAAATATTATATATAATAGTAATACCACGTTATTATTGATATATTATAATATTAATTAATAATAAAATTCCAAATATGATAAGCGAACGTGTTATTTCAATGCATTAGTTATTCAATGTACTGGTTATTGACAATTATTACTGTTTATTTTTTATATTTCAGTCGTTTCAATAGATCACTGTATCACTATTTCACTCATTTATTGGATTAATATTAGACATTTACATTGTCGTCACGGATGGTGTCTCCAAGGGGCTATACTTCATTAGGGGCAGCCTAATAATACTTGAGGGCCTANTTTTTTTTTTTTTTGGCTATTTTAACTTATGGATTCAACATTTGTCTCATTTCTAGATATGAGATTTTGTGTAATTATTTTTCTTTGAAAAAACATGATTTATTATCTCATGGTTATGGCTGCGTCATTATTTCACAATGAAAAGGTTTGGTACTTGGTGATACGTGAACGCATTGAGAAAGGGAGAAAGTTGGATGGGTGTGTGTGAGAGAGAATTGAAGCAAAACGAAATACAAAAAAGTCAAGTTGGTTAGGATGATCTATATATAGCTATTAATATGGCTAATATTGTTGATTGTTGATGTTAGCCTAAAACTAAAAGCTTTCCCTTGTGTAACTGCAA